TTCCCTACAAAGGCAAGGAATTAAAGTGTCCTGTGTTTGTGAGACACTGAAGTGCAAATGCCTTGGCTGGAGCAGTCACATCGTGAGGCTGCAGGAGAGACCATAGAGCTGCTCAGAGGGACCCCTGGATTATGCCACAAGTTCAGGAGCTGGAGAGCACGAGGTCTCTCACTCCCAGAACAAACATTAGCTTCATCCTCAGCAAATGCCAGCAGGAAACGAGTATCTTCATTCAGAAGTCCTGGCTGGGAACTCTCCTGGGTACAATAATTACTACTCTTCTGTAAGCCAACAACTACACACAGTTGAAAGTAGAGGGCTGCTGCATCAAGCGAGCAATTAAGTTGACAAAATTAGCTTTTGTAAGAGGGTCATTACAATTTGCTAGTCCCAGCAAAAAATCTTCTGGCTGCTTTTTACCAGGAAGACTGATAATTTAACTCCCGTGTTCAGGTTGCAGCTTTCAAAGGTTGCTGGGTTATAATCAGAGGCAAACACCCCGTACCAATACAGACAAGGGAAAAAGGCAACACAGTGTTAATAGCACAGTAACTCATAAACCCCACTGGGCAGCACTACAGCATCTTCAGTCCTGTTTTCTCACCCAGGCAACCTCCCCTCTAAACGACCACAATTCATCATTCCCTAAATACAAGTCCCTGGGGGTTTAAGGAGCTGCCTTTACTCTCCTTCTGGCTCGCCTGCTTCCCTGTGGCACTTGGCTTTGAGCCCCGGCTTTCTGTGGGAGTGACAAGACAGAGCCACAAAAGGTGTGCTGATTACACCTTCAGGCTAATTAGGCAATGGGCAATCCGACCTCAACACTCAGCTCTGCTGTGACCCTTGCGCTCTGTGCTTCAAGCTCCTCAGCAGGACAAGCTGATTCTCATTTCAGACACGGCAGGACAACAGACAAACTGCATTTAAAGTTTAAGGCTGAACAGAAAAAAGGGGGGTGGTTTGTTTAAGGAAACACTTCAGACTCTGCAGACAAAGCTGTCACTCTTACCTCTACACAGAACTTAAAATGAATGCCTTGGGAATCATAAAATGAAATAATTCGACTGGGGATGTTCACAGTAATGAGGGACCAGTGGACTTCCAGATGAATAGGAATTAACAAGAGAGTCTTTTTGAACAAGTCCACCTGGCAAGAAGAACAACACACATTGAAGAGAATTCCACAGGAACAACACTGCAAAGCAAGAGATTTATCATACTTAAGCCTCCTCTCCACCCCCTAACCAAAGTCTTCTTTTTCACCCTCCCCTCTTCCACCACATTCCTCACGTTTATCTCATACACAACTTAACAGCAGGCTCAAAAATCCAGTTACAGCACAGAAAGTGGCCAAGGAGCACTGTACAGTAGCAGTCAGTCACCACTGTTTGTGGTAAAAGCCTGCTCACGTTACACTTCAACACCTGCATCAGAGTGGGTTTTCTTAAGTAACGATGGTATTACAGACAACCCTCAATTTGGGTTAGCTACTTATCTTCATAATTGTATGAACACCACTGATTTCTATCAGACCTGCATCACGGAGAGGTGACAGACGAAGCAGCTGTGATTGCAAAAACCCCACAAAACCAGCGAGCTGGGGCAGTTTGACTCCCTCTGCCATAACACGGGCTCTGTCAGAGGAAGGCAGAGAAGGAGCACGCAATGCTTCCGTGAGCAGAGGAAGGGAGGGGGTGAAGGCAGAGCAGATTCAGCCTTTCTTGAAGTTAACTCTGCAGCAGATGTACTGCGGTCACAGGCAAGCAAACAAGGGAGAAGGTCTTAAAGTACAGAACAAGTAGATCAGATACAACACCCCCGGTATCTGTGTGGCAGATGAGCCCTTATGCTTTTGGAAGCCAGTCAAGCCAGGGCCTTTCATGATTTTCCTTCCCCCAGCTCCTCTTGAAACAGTTGTCTAATTGCTGGGGTTTTGGTGGTACAGTCCAGAAAATAAGCAAAAATAGAATGTTGAATTAAATGAACTCATCCTGTGGGAAGATTTCTATGCTGCTTTTTTTTTTTAAGCACTGTGCAATTTGAAGAGTACATAATTGCTGCACTACTGGTAAAGACAGGTTGTTTGTAGGAAAAAACAGGGCCTTTTTTGAGCAACAGTAGGGAGCTGAAGGCACAAAAAGGTCTGAGCATTCACAGCAGTTATCAGCCCTGCTCACAACAGAACTTTGATGGTTGCAAGCATACACGATCCCTGCTCCCACCCGCAGAAACCGCTTGCTGACCAGACTGCGACACCTCGCTACACAACCATACATCAGCCTTGGAGAGGTAAAGCAGAGAGACGTCAGCCAGCAGCAAGCTGAGCCCACAAAAGAAAACTGGAATAAAATAAATGGACTACACCTTCTGTGATGTCCTTCTGGGCTCTGGCCTCCTGTATCCCAGGACAGCACATTTATAAAACCTGGTACAGTACTCTGGTGTGCTTAAAAAGCAGAAACAAGTTCCCTTTAACTGCATATTGCATGACAAAGCTGTCTACTGAATTCTTCCAATAGAAACTGCTCAGTTCTCATCCTTGCTTTAGAGATTTTTCAGGACTGTAAGCATAAGTGTCCAAACAACCGCCCTGCTCTCATCTGGTCCCTCCTCAGCAGCAACACGAATACAGGTTCTGCTTTCAGGATCTACCTTCATTTTGGGGGTTTTTGCAAAACTTGGGTCGCTGGAGAAAATGAATATTAAAAAAAAATCTGGGAATATTAAGCACCAATATTCAGTCTCTTTCTTTAAAGAGATTTTAATAAATTATTTGAATAGATTTTATATTTGGATAATGAGTTCATCTCTAGCATTTCACAGATGTGTGCTATTTAAGTGCTTCTGCAGAAAGATCATACATTCAAACATGGTCCTTGATTAGTCTTGCCTCATCTCCCATATTAGAAAGGACAAATGTTCACAGAAGAAGAGAGCATTGATCTTTGCTACCTCAGAAAATACCACAGCCCACGAGCTGGTACGGGTTCTGGAAAGCAAGGCAAATTCTGGTCTTGTCATGCGAACAGTAGTTTGGCTTATTAACTACTGGTCACCAATTTCTGCTTTCTTGTACCTGGATGTTTTACTCAGGAGCAACAATTTGATTTTCTCAAACAATCCCAGTTTGAGATAAAAGGAAGAAGCAGAATTAAATCTCTACCTGGCACGGTCAGGAGCAGGAAGGGACGTTTCTTGCAGCTAAATTAACTTACACAAAGAGATAACCTACCACCAGTGATGAAGCCATTCAAAGTACATCTTCACAACATGACCATGCTAACTTCAATAGTGCCACCTCACCATTTTTATTAACCTCTCCCCACTTTGTACAGCTCCTTTCCAGGTAACACACTGTAACCCAGTTTCAAGTCAGTGATTCAACCCAGCCCAAAAGAACCAGAGCACTGGCGACACGCAGTTAAAAAAATACCTTTTTAGTCCATCGCTTTACCCCATTATATCCTTTGGTTACGAGCTGTCTATGAAAAAAGCTGTTAAAGAAATGAACCTGAAAAAGAGAGAGAGGAAGAATGAGCACAGAAATCTTCGTGCACAGTTGCTCCCTTCCCCCAGGATAATTTATACAAAACAACTTGTAATGAGGCAATATTTAATGCAGGTTTAGAAACAGAACCCCAGTAGGGACAAACAGAGGCTTTGCCAAGCCTAAACTATTGCTGTTCTTCAGCAAGCAAATAAAGCAAGCCTTATTTCCCTATAATATATGACATGAGCCACTGCAGCATTCCTATTTACACTTTTGTAGCTCCAGGCATACAATGTTTAATTTTTTTGTTGGGGAAGGACTTAGGAGAAAAACACCAGGATAAGGAGTTACAGTGTTTTTGTTCTTTACAGGGATTAAGGAAGAGAATGCTGGCCTGGCAAAGTGAGGGTAGTGGAAAAGGGAGTCACTTCTGGGCTTAGTTGCTGGAAGCTGAGACTCAGAAAAAAATAAATATCAAAACAGTTATGAGATTTAATCCAACAACATGGTCATTTGTATTCAGCTACTATGACCAGCTCCAGACAGAAACAATGTTCTGCTATTTAAAAGCATTTTTAAGTTATACCACATCCTGAAAACATAAATTTATGGCAAAAATGTAGTTTAAAAAAATATTTAGCTCCAGGTTAACACTATTATTCCCTGTGCTTAGCTTCTTGCAATTACAGGAGCAGATTAATACAAATGAAAATCAGCAACATCTGGTTTTAATAATTCTGCTAGTGTAGAGGTGGTAGAAGGCTCGAGTTATTACTTGAAAACAAGTTAGAAAACTCAGCATCTGAAAACACAGCCTAACACCCATTAGCTATGCCAACAGACTTCAAAACCGTGTTCTGAGGTACCAGCACAAAACCTCCCATGAGGATTTCAATTATGCACTATGAAGAAAAAGCAGACACAAGCAAACAGATACAATCTCCAATACCACCACCCCAGCACACACTGGGAAGTACAGAGAATACTAATGAAGAATCACCATCACCCCCATCAAAGCAACAGCACTTGCTCTTCTGAGCTCCAAGATTTCAAGAGTTACATTCTGCAGAGCTCATCTAAAAATGGCTTTGTTTGGTTCTTCCTTTGTGGTCTCACCTGAAAATTGTTCAGCTCTACCAGTAAACAGATGGCTTTTTATAATTGCCACTGCTGCAAATGTAATCACAGAAGAAGGGGGGGTTGTTTTCTTGATTTATTTTTTCCCCCTTTTCTTTTTTTTCAGCTGCCACCAGCAGTCAGACACTGCAGTAGGAAAGCAGCGAGCATTCTGTTGAGGATGCACAAACCAAAGAGAGCCCTGCAGAGTCAATACTGCTGAGGACCCAGGCAGCTCTGCATCAATCCCCATTCACCAGGCCCCCACAGCTGCGAGGTGGGCGAGCGTGAACAGCACATGTGCATGGTTCAGATGCTGCCATTCATGGTTTGTCATCTCAGCAGAAAGCCATCTCCGTTAGAAATTTCAACTGAAACACCAGACCGGTGAGCAAGGCCATGGATAAAGCGCTTTAGGATGGACAAAAATAGGGCACCTGTCTTCTACTGGTACGTCAGTAACACCAGGCTACCAGAGACCACCTGCAGAGCTAATCCAATAAATACCTGAAACAAGAGCAACAGCACTGAAAACTGTATTTTAGCACAGGAAAGGAAGAAAATTTGAGCAGCAGATAGGAACAAATTATAATGGGACCACTCAAAACGTCATTGAGCTAAATCTCAATTCTGCATCTGAATTATTCAACGTTTCACCCTTTCCTCTCAATCTCTCATTAGGTACATTTGCATAATAACGAAACCCCTCACCTTTTCAGGGACTGCATCCATTATGAGTTCACCATACATGTTAATTATCTGCAAGAGTCAGTAAACATTTGAATATGCACAGAATAATTTAGTAAAACCCAAATTCACAAGTTCCCATTAAACGCAGGACCCTTCACACTTAAAACACCAATAAGGAGGTGAGCAATTACAGTAACATTTTGCCGTAGTCCAAAGGCCCAGCATGCTGGAACTAATAGTGGTTGGCCCGGGGAGAGACTGTAACTGGCTGCCTGAAGTCTGGCTCCATCAGAAATGCAGTTTAATTCAATTTAAGTCTACTGGTGCATGCCCTGGGCACTGCAGCCTTCTTGCTTTTTTGGCCGTAGGCCACAGTCTGCTGCTTCTCTCTGCTGTTCTTGAAACCTGCTCAAGCTTGGCTATGGGGGCAGATGCTAAAATCTGTATGGACTGTCACTATTTTCTTAAAATAGTGGAACATCATTTCTTCAAAAGGAAACATTTAGCTGGGACACCTCCCACCTTTGAGATTTGTAACCACTGCTATTGCAAAAGCTGCTCACCACTTCTTTCACTTCTCAAGCGTAAAGTAAGGATAAGTCCACCTATAACATAGCAGAAGGTGAACAACTGATATCCTCACATAAATGGGCTAAAAAGGCTTAAGGAAGCACATAAACACCAAACATCTCTGACCTGGTCGTTCAGCCAGTTCTGGCCTTCCAGTGTAGCCAAATCATCCATATCTAGCATGTGCTTATTATAGAAGACCCGGAAATGGCAAGGGGAGGTTTTTGGATGCTTTTCCCGATACTTCATGATTTCCCTGGTGATAAAAGGTTTTCTAAAAGAGGATTGAAAAGGTAGAAAAAAAAATAAGTCAAGGTCGTATCAAATGGACTTCTGTTCTGTTGGGTTTTAGACATGGAGCGTGCAGGAGCAATGCAAGCAATTTGTCCTTTACAAAGTCTAGAATTTGATACTGCTACACACCTATGGGAGAAATCTTCATTAAAGACTTCTTTTAATCTTCCCATGACATCTTTTTCACAGAGTGGAACTAAACTGCCATATTTCTTCATAACTTCATCTAGGAATCCTTTAAATACACCAGAAAAATGAAAACGCAAACATGTAAAAACCCTCCAAGTTCACAAGTCCAAGAAAGCAGTCATTTCTGCCGAGCACAAGCAGCAATCACTCAGCACCCAGCCAACACACAGCACCACGCATGGCAAGGATGTATTTAAGAAAACTAAGCTCAAATTGGCAACATTAAAGAAAAGCAGGGGAAGGGAAAGGACAAAAATAATAACAAAAAAAAACCAAAACAGGAATCTGATCACTCAGCTTTAAAGGGAAAGGTCAGACCCCATTCTTCCCATATACACACATATCTACATCAAAATAATTATACCAGTGCTATGAGGAGAATCCATCCCACTGCTCATTTAAATTAGCATCTTAATTTTACTGCAACGTGAAAAGCCATCAGTTTCTGCAACTTTTCACTGAAAACCCAGTACCTTGTCCTTGCAGCACGCACAATTCCTCTCCTCAAGTGTAAGCAGCCCTGGTTGGCAGACTTTTCACAGTCTGCTCACCAGAGCGACCAGACTCTCAGCAAATTTAACTCATTTACCCTTATACCCTAGCAATGGCAGTTAAGGTGCCATGGACAGCCACATCGGTCTGCTGTTGCCTAGGCAACCATAGCACTAGAAACAAAAGAGGTTAACTAGGAAATAATGAAGAGACGAATTCTGCAGCAATTAAAAAATGTAGGAAACAGATTTTTTTTCTTTTTCCTCAGGCACAAGACTGGAACAGTGGAGACATAAATCCCACCCAAGCATCCAAAACCACTTTGAGAATGAAAGAGATGGAAAACAGGATTTCAACACTTGCTAGTGAATAAAAGGAAAAGCCAGATCTAGTTGCCCAGCTTTCTGAAAATGAGTTTTGAAATGCAGCAGCAAACACGTGTTCTGTGCACAGGGAACTGCACCAACCCAGGCACCAGGACTCTTCCCAGGCCTGGCTGTGATGGCAGACAGCACCGCTGCACAAGGCAGCGAATGCTTCACTCTCTGCTTACAGTATTTCCTGGAAACTTCCACAGATCAGGATGGGATGAAGCAAGATGAGAGAAACATCTGACAGAAAAATGTGATAGAACAGCAATGAGAACAGAATAAAAAAAAGGAGAGAGACCAAGAACAAAACAGAGAGAGACAAGAAAAGCAGTGAAGATAGGGCAAGAAGTACACCTGGATGTGCGGCAGAAGGAAGGGAGGACTGAAGAGCAAGATCAGAGAAGGAAGAATTGCTCACGGGACGAGAACCTTCCTCCTAACTCTGCTACACGCTGCCTAACAGCTTCTATCCCTTACCTCTTAGTAAACTGGAACGGGAAAGGTGTTTCTTACTCTGGTTAGAAATTGAGATAGAAGATGTATAGGCATATAAGCATACCTTATTCTCTCTTAATAAGAACATTTTTCTAAAGCTTTTTATTCATACACACACAGGAAAGGTTGTTCTCATAGCTACAACTAAGAGCAGCAGAGCTCCAGGAGACCTCCAGGTAGATTCTGACCTCGCTTCGGCTGCTGTAACTGCATTACTCAAGGAAGAAAATACAAAGTTCCGCCCCGGTGCAAGACCAGGCACCCATCACAAACAGGATTTACCACGGAGCTCTGTTTGACACCTAATACCACATCAGAATGCACTAAATATTGCAGCCCGTTAGCATCCCAGTTCAGCTGCTGTGGAGAAATTCAAAACCCAAGAACATTCATAACACTCACATCTCCTTCATGCACCTCCCCAGCAAGGAGGGGATTACAATCCCTCTTGCAGTTTAGCAGTATCTTTTAAGGGTGCAGCTAATGATTAACAACACTCCTAAACAAGACAAGAACTTCTGTACATAGTCACATCAAATTTAAAACTCTTTTTTTACAGGTTTTTCAGCTGAGAAAACTTGGCAGTGCTATGCTGTCAGTAGGAGCACGTGTGAACTGTAGACTCGGCTTCAATCCTCAGGGAGGAACCTTCAGCTCTGAAGAAAATGGAAACTGGTTTCACCTACTTTCATAGGTAAAAATTCTCTTAGAATTGTCCAATGTGGGGAAGTTTAGTACATTTCCTGCTTGTCTTTTTAAGTTATTCAGGCCTCCCACGAACAGAAACATGACAGCCTATCAGACCACAAAATTTCAACCTTTGCTACCCTGATACAACCTTGTTTCTTGTAACCTTGTTACAGCAGGATTATGTCCCTTTTTCTGCTGGACAGACTTTAAAACTCCATTGCAGCAGTGGTCTGTTCACCGCACCACCACAGTTTCTCTCAATTTCTCACAGAGCACCTGGGTCCTTGCTGGATCATGTAAAGCCAGTCACAGGAAAACACATCCCACACTAACGTGTGGATATGGATGTGGAAAGCTAAAGCATCTTTCGAGGTTCAAGGTCTCCTTTTTCACATTTAGAGAATCAATTGCAAAATTGAAGGACAAAAAGGCAGGCAGAAAAATCAGAGAGTGTTGAACTTCAAACAATCTCTTTAACATCAGTTGACACCAGCTTCAGGTTTATGAACATTTTATCAATGGTGGCACAACGTGTTAGCTCACTGCTCCTTACTACGTGTACAGTATGCTGCTACCATAAATAAGACACCAACTGCTATTTATACCCTGTTCCTCTTCAGAGAGGCTATCAAATACCACATGCTCAGCACTGAGTAAAAAAATCCCAAAGCCTTTTTGCTGAACCTTTGCTAAGATTGGCCTTGCCTTTTTAAAATATATTGTCTAAGAAGATTCATTAAGCCTACTTTATGAACGGTGACAGAAAAAACTAATTGACAATGAGTAATATTAGGCTATTAAAACCTGAGATTCATCAAGTGATTCAGTTTCAGTCTAAGACAGAGCAAGAGAAGTCAGGATACATATTAGAACACTCAAGATTTTAAAAAACAAGTTAAGAGTAATAATTCGTCAACTATTTAAAAATTAGAAGTTTTAACCCCATATAATCTTCTGAAACCACATGATAAGACATTCAAAATCTCTATCAACAATTTTCCAGATTCAAATTAAATTGCATTATATTCTCTAAAACAAAAGGAGAGGCATCATTCAAGTCTCCCTCAAAACAGCCTGTAGATAAGCACTGATTTGCTCTCACTTCATGCAGCTCTCCACTCTGCAGCCTCACTTCCTTAACTGGTAAGCTAAGCACCCTTCATCATTCACAATGACAATTAAGAAAGGAATGAACACAACAGGTAAACTCCAGGATATATCCAGCAGTTTCCAAGTACTCTGGAACATTTAAGATATATAAAAGGTATACCACAAAGCCACGTTGCCAACTGCTCATCAGCCACCCGGGAAGCTTTTTGACTGTTCCTTTTGCTTCCCTTTTGAGCTCCTGATTTTAGTCCTGTGCTTTCAGGCGAAGGCTCCTCAAGAGGACTTTTACAGTAAGGGTGATCTAGTAACTTTGCACTAAAACTGTCTAGGTTCAAGGAGCCCTCTACTTCCATTTGGCTAGAGCTGTCCTCATTTTGTGCCAGCTCCATGGATAAAGGTCCATTTGCAAAGTTTTCATTGCCAACAGAATCCTGCAAGGAGGATTGCAACAGTATCATCCCACCTACACCCATAACCTCATCAGTTTCTGCATCATCTTGACCTGACACAGCAATTTCTTTTCCTATCGTGGAGATGAATACGTCAGAGCAATGATCCTCTGCCAGAGGCCCGTTGGTCTCCACCTGGAGCAAGGTCTGTGCCTCCGGAGAAGCTCTTGCATGCAGTTCTGGTGGGACAGCATCTGTGCTGCCTTCCTGTCCTGATCCCGACTCCTCAGAACGCGGCTCAGCACAGGGTAACGCATCCTGCGTACGACAGGTCTCATTCTCCTCACCTAAAGATCTGGGTGTATTATTGTTCATATCTGGTAAGCTGTACCGGTTCCAAAGACGCTTACTTTTAGATTTCCAGTATGAAAGCCAATTACAAAATCCACTTTCAAAATCCCGCTGGAGCGTCTCTTGCTGGTCCCTTGTAGCTTTCTCCACCCGCCTTGGCTTGATTTTCCTCAATTTGCAGGTTTTGCCTCTTGCTCGAAGTCCTGGGGATTTTATAATTCTATACCGAAACCTAACCATAGAAAGTTTCTTATGCATCATAAATAAAGATCTCTTTTTTACAGTATGATGGTTAAATTTGGACCTTTTTAGAGTTGTCAAGGGGCCACAAGTTCCATTCCACTCCCTTTGCAACAGCATTTCCTTTTATAGTTGTTTAAAACTGCTAGGACTGCGTTGCCCTCACCATTATTGCTCTCTTCCCCACTACACACAAAAGCACCTTTCTTTACAGGTAAGGCAGCACCATCCAGCGTACCACACGAGACATAATGGATAAAGCCAGAGATGCTATTAAAGAAGAGCGACAGTTTCAAATTCTTCATTCAAGGAATCTTCCCTCTGAAAGGACTCATTGTTGAGCCTTCTTACTGCTTCTCCAGATGGGCTTTTGGCCTTGCGATAGGGGCAGGATCTTTTTGTTAGGGAAGCTGAATGGTTCAACAGGAGGTTTTTGATGGGTTTCTGCATTCAGAGGCACATCAGGAGCCCGTCTGCTTTGGAGCTCAAGTGCTTTCCTTCTGCACTGCAGTTTTCTGCAGGGTTTGTTGAGACTTAAGCTCACAACTAGCTGAGCACTCTCTCTTTTCTTCTTAGCTAGGAAAAATGGCTTTTGGAAGCAGTATTTCCCAAGATCCCCAAACCCAGTGGTCCATCTTCCAGACTGGGCCAGCACTGGACTTCTTTTCCAAAGCAGATGTCTTCTATGGAGTTTCATTTTTCTGCTGCATTATGATCTTGAAAAACAGCTGAAAGAATAAGGGAAATGAATTCAGAGTTATCTGGACTGTAACATAATAGCAAAACGCTACAGTGCATTCCTCAGGCAACAGGCCTATCTGAAATTCCACCTCCCAGCACCAGCCCACATTCCCTAGGACATTCTCACTTGCACCAAAAGGAAAAAGCAGCAATAGCTGCAATGGCTCAGTGCATAAACAGGCTCTTCTTATTTATCTTCCCTTGAGGTAAAGCAGTAAACAGGTAATCCCCTCCCAGCCCATGCTCCCTACATGTCATTTCTGACTCTAGCCTGAGGTTAAATCCCTCCCAATACCTATGTTGCAGTGCAAGCATGGTTAACCAGCTTGCCTTTTGAAAAACAAAACTTTGAAGTCCAAGTTAGTCAGCAAATGCGTGCAGGTACCCGACCTCATCAGCACTGGACAAAGGGAAGGCTCGTTCTTGTGCAATAAATGTTAGCAGGCTCTCTGCAAACACTTCACACACATTTTTCCCTTAAAGGAACAGCAGTGCACACACTGCCACGGATATTCTGATTCTCTGACTAAAGAATGACACCGCTCACTCTGTGAAGTGGTTCCTCTATATTTACAGTAACAGCTCACTCCATATGACAGCACCACCACCAGTTTCCGTATGTTTATGTTTGCGTTAACAAAGCAATATCAATGCAGGACACCAGTTAATCACCTTAAAAATCCCTTTTCACACTGAAAACTTGCATCTCAAGGGGTGCCATAAGGATATACGTGAGACTATGAAAGAGTGTAAAGCCTGCATAGCAGTATCTAGCCATTTTCAGTACATAACTAAACCTGTTAATTCAAAGGTAGAAAAATTCAGAAACACAAGGGGAAGACATCAGCCACGCACAACATGGGACGTTTCATGCAAGTCGTCCCAGCCTCGCCAAGTACATCACTTATTTTACAACACTTTGTATTTTTCTGAAGCTAAGAAACAGACCTTGCCCTTCTCCTCTAACCAACTGATGCTGACTTACAGACTATTACACCAAATCTTCCCTTATCCACATCTGTCCCAAGCATTAAACATAGGCATCACCTAGCTGAAAATAAAGGAGCCTATAAATGGAAATGAAGTATTAGCAATCAGACTTTAAAGTCTATTGTGTACAGTACCTACAAAACACTCCTCGAGTGGCCCTGGTACACATCAGCCAAACCAGTCTGGCTGGGACAACTCATTCCAGCCATATTTCCATTCAGGTAAAACAAACCCAGCAAAATCACAGCGTTCTCGATAGAGCCACGTATACAAGGGGCTTCTGCCAACGCGATGAGTCTCGAGTACTCTCAGAAGAGCTCAGCACATCAAGGTAACGGCTTCACTGCTCCTCACTCTCAGCAATACGTGCATTTGCCCAGTAGCTGTGCAATGTACC